AGAAGGATATGGAGGAAAGATAGAAGGGAAAGCATGACCAGCAGGAGTGAGCAACACTGTTCATCTCTTTCATATTGAGTTCCCTGAGCGGTTTGGTCATTGTACCTGCATTTCTGTTCCTCCTGTCTTTCTGTTATTTCCTTCCCTGTTGGGAAAATCACTCTGGTAGACACTCAAGTCATTGCCTAAAGTCTGGCTCATAGACATTCAGCATCATTTTTTTCCCTCTTCAGAATCGGTCTGCTCACACCAAGTGTGTATTTGTTCTCCAGCTGTTTTGTTACAGAAAGTCAATCAATTCATATGGAATGAGAAAAGGATGTCTTAAGGTGAACAACAAGGTGGTTGGATACATGTGCTTCTTGTGGAGGGGGCTGTAACTGAATTAACAGAGGAAGCTCTCCAGCTCAGGGTGGGAGGGGAGACGTTTGTGAGGAGAAGCTTTCCTGGCCATGTGCTGGTGCCCAGTGCCATTGTGGCACAACTGTGCATGACCTCAGTTCTCCGGCATGAGCCGCGCATCGGAGGATGTGAGGCGATGAAAATGCCCAGGTCTCCTCTTCAGTGGGGAGATGTTGGCTCATCGACTTTGCAGAATGCTCATACTCCCCTTCAAACATGCCGTTGAGGGCTGTCAGATTACGTGAATAGTGAGTGGGCTTGCAAAGCTGCTCTCTCCTCTTCACTCTTAGCAAATATCTTCTTTGGTGTTAAGCAGAGTCCGGGCTGATTTGTTTTTGTGTTCTGGCCTCTCTCTTTTCTTTGTATATGTGCTAATTATTCCATCAGTGATTTTGTTAAGGTGCTCTCAAAACCGATATTAAAAACTCTATGAAGATGAAAATAAGGTGACCCTTCCTCCTTCAGAGTGACCGTTTTCGTTTAGATGCTCATCAGTTTTACTTTGTAAAATTTTCTCTCACATACAGGTCTGGTTCAGTGAGAAGATGTTTGAACCATCATTCTGTTTTTATACTGGATATAAAATCCCCTTGTGCAAAACCTTGGACCAGTATTTTGAATACATCCAGTCATTGCCATCCCTAGATAACCCCGAAGTCTTTGGGCTTCACCCTAATGCTGATATCACGTAAGTTCTTAGCATTTTTTAATTTGAAGGGGTCATTTTTAACTCAGCCTGGCAAAGACTGCATTTCATTTTCTCTCTTAATATCTCTCCTTTCCCCTTTTCTTATTTTACTGTGAAAAATAGTGTCACTTCCTGTCTCCCAATTATACCTTTGTCATATCTTGGTCTGTTCTCCTCTCACTAAATCCTGATGCTCTGGTGTTTATGACAATGTTAAGCTCTAATTTATGCATTGATTATTTCTCCTGTCATGTCATAAAACCAGTCAGTGTTATTGGTATTGATGCTCTCTGTTGATAGGAGAGTAGTCTCCCAGCTCCTCATCTCTTTCTTTAAAGATCCATTAAAAATGTTATGCTCATAAATAGGACATAAAAGGGCCAGGAGAGTACAGACAGCAGGATGAAGAATTATATTCCTGCCTGACCCTTCTTTGGGGGTCCCTCTCCCTTTACTTGCTCACCTGCATCCTTCTGGCATGAACTGCCCGTGGTGGGCACATTGCAGCGAGCACACGACACAGATGCACAGCCTGGGGTGGAAAGAGTGGCAGGTCTCAGCTCAGCGTGAGGTCCTGCTGCAGCCATCAGGCTAAGAGGCCATGAGTGAGGAGATAGGAAATGCTTTCCAGTCCTAAGCCCCTTCTCTGACCCATCCTTCGGATGAGATCTCATTCCTCCTCTCTTTAGAGATACCTACCGCAAAACAGGACCACCCAGCTTCACGGGGCCGGTGGTAGGGGGTTGGGGGGGGAGGTTCAGGAAGCCCCATCCGAGATGCTCCTTTGGATGGGCATTGCCCTGTGGCCCATGAATGAGAGACCACAAAGTTTGTGTCCAGGAGAGTGTTCCAGGAAATGGAAGAAAGCAGGACTCCTCCGGCAGAATCTTAGCTGTCATGACTGATGAGGGTGGTGTATGGCTCTCCTAGTTACTTGCCTACTGTTGTGATTTTAATAACTCTCCGCCATTGGGTGTTCCCCACCTTCTCGTTTTCTGGCCTTGCTGGGCATCCTGGGAATCCCAGTTTGCTGCCAATTACATTGTCTTTCCACCCCTGAACACCCACCTTGCCCCCTGCGTGAGGCATGCCCTGTTGGCCTCTTTATACCACAACAATTTGACCTTCTCCATATCCTCTGGTATCGCCCATGCCACTTGTCATCTTCAAAGACATGGACATGACCAAAAAACCCATGAATGGCAACACTCCTTTCAGACCCCATGATAGGACCATGATGACTCTTTGGTGGCAGCTCTAGCTGTTGTTTAAAGAGGCTGTCAGTTAGCTGGGAATGGGAAAGAAGTGAAGAAATAAAAGGGACTCCTCAGGGACCGGTTTGAGAATAAGCTCAGGCATCATCTGAAAGAGGGAGTATAGCGAAGTAGTTTTGCTTTAGCTGGGACTTTAAAAGTGTGACTCAGCCCGCATCACCCTTCTGCTCAGAACTGTCTGAGGCCCCTGTCTCACTCTGAGTCAAGGTTGAAGACTGACAGTGACTACATACAGTTGACTTACAAGTCCCAATAGTACCGTCTGCCTGCACCTCCTGGCCTTGACTCCCTCCTGCCGTCTCCTTCCCTCATGTCAGCTCAGCTCCAGCTCTCCCTAGCTTCCTGTTACTCAACCAGGCCAGACAGCGCCCACCAAAGGGTGCTCGCACTTCCTGGAGCAGCCCTCCCCCCAGATATCATTGTGGCTCACCCTTTTACCTCTTCCAGTTTTTGCTTAAATATCATCTTTTCAATGAACCTTTCCCTGACTACCTTATTTAAAAATTACAATCCTCTCTCCCCAACGCTTGCCCCAGACCCTCTCCTCCTGGCTTGCTTTTTCCTATAGTTTGCATCACCAGTGGGCATACTCCATATTTAAATTATTTATTTGTTATTACCTTTCAACCACCACTAAAACCTAAGTTCTGTTACATCTGAAAACTTTCATGTATTTTCACTGCTGTGTCCCCAGTGCTACAGCAGTGCCTGGTGCTCAGGAAATACTTAACCAAATCGACAATACTAAATTCTTCTAGATTGTGAAGAATCTGATCAACGAGGATAGTCTATAGAAAGGTCTCATGAGTTCACGTGGCTGGGCAGAAAAACAGCCAATAAGTCTTGATACACTTGTGAATTTATAATTGAAAATGTTCACATATGAGGGCTCAGAACTTTGATTCTGTCCTTGGCAAGAGCTTGAGGAGTCATGATAGCTGGTTCCTGGATAATCTGATCTTGTTGGGTTCTACAGGATCCTACCAAAGAGTATGTAAAACAAAAATGAAACAATCTCACCCTGACTCAGTGATGGCGTGCCTACGCCTTATCATAAGCAGTTTTGGTCACCAACTCTCAGAAAGATGTACCAGAGCTAGAAAAAGTCCAAAGAAATATAACAAAAATGTAAATGGGATTGGAAGCCATCATAAAGACAAAACTTTTTCCCCCTTTGACTTTTTATTTTGAACTATTACAAACCCTCAGGAAAATTGCAAGTGCTGTGAACACCGTATATCTTCCACCTAGATTCAACAGTTGTTAACATTTTGTCCCATTTACTTTTCATCTTTCTATATGTATACATATCTTTGTGTATTTATTATCTACAGCTATATCCACATATAGCCACATCTGTTTCTACGTGTGTCTGTGTGTATGCATGTGTGTGTGTGTGTGCTTGAAGGCTCTCTCAGAGGACAGAGCTAGGAAGTGCGTATTTTTTAAAACACCATGAACTAATACAAATAATTCCAATTCCAGTTGTACTCCTCAGGGTCCTTCCTTGTCTCCCTCATTCCATAATGATGTCTCTTCCTCCCACAGTAAAAATCTGGTTTCTAGAAACTTCTATATATTTACTCACTTTTTTGAAATTAATATGCTAATGCCACTACCAGCAACAGATCTACTAAGTAGAGGTCTTTGAACAAAAGATACCTTCGTTGTGTTTGTCCATAGAATTTATCCCACTGAGGGTATACAGAGTATTGCGTTTAAAAGTCACTCAATTAATTGTTTTTTCTGTGTGGTTATGCTATCAGTTGGTATATAGTTGTGTTATGTTATAGTTATGTTCATTTGTTATGTCATTTGTTTCTGTTTGCATTACATTTTAGGTTTTTTCCCCTTCCTTGTTATTGTTTTGAATATGTAAAACATGAGCATGGTTCAAAAGTCACAACTAAGATAAGACGTTCTTAGAGAAGTCTCATACCCTTCTGACCCAATCCCCCCTTCCTTTATGGGAAATCAAACACAGTTTCTGGGTTAGCTTTCTGTGTTTCTTTTTGCATGCACATACATATATACATATTCTTATTACCCTTTCTTTCTTATACAAAATTGCCATATTATATGTATTATTTTGTGTCTTGCTTTTTTCACTTAAGAGTGTATCCTGTAAATCACTCTATGTCAGTTCATATATATATCTTTCTCATTTTTTACAGCTGCATGCTACTCCATTGTTTATACATGTTGTAGTTTATTAAACCATCCTCCTATGGATGGGTATTTAGGTTGTTTCCAATATTTTGCTACTTCAAATAATTTCTCAATTAATAACCTTATGCTTATGGTTTCTCATACTGTTGGGTATGTATTTCAGGGTAAATTGCTATGAGTGGGATTGCTCGATTGAGATTTAGTGAATACCACCAAATTCACTTACATAGGGTTGTACTATTTTGCACTCTTACTTGCAACCTATTTCTTCAGGATCTTGTCAGTGTTGATGAAGCATTTGAATTTTCACTGGTATGACAGTGAGAAACTGTACCTCAGCATAGTTTTAAATTACTTTCTCTTATTTTGAGTGAAATTGAGCAAATTTTCATATACTTAAGGACTATTTAGATATAGTTTGCCCATTTTTTTCAGTAGAGTTTTAATTATTTTTCTTTGATTTTTAAGAATTATCAAAAAAGTGATTCTTATAGTAGAGAGCAGAATAACAATTACCAGAAGCCCTGGGGTGGGTGGATGGGTTAGAAGAAGTGGCAGACTAAGGGGTATAAAACTATGCTGTCTACACTAAGTGATGCATTGTGCAGTGTATGAATTTACCGGAACAACACACTGTACCCGACAAATATGTACCAGTAAATGTTCAAATATTTTGGATTAAATAAAAATAAACAAAACATTTAAAAAAAATAAAAAATAGGATTATTTATATTTTAAGAATACCAGCCCTTTATTTGGGATATATATTGCAAATATTTTTTTCTCATTTTGTCATTTGATTTTAACTTTGCTTATGATATTTTTGTTGTTGTTGGCCAGGTGGAAGTTTGTTATTGTTTTGTTTTGTTTTACTTTTGTCTTATGTAATCAAATTTATGAATTCTTTTGTTGTTGTATGTCTGGATTTTTAGTAATAGTAAGAAAGTCTTTTCCCATATCAGGTTATAAAGGAATAACCCATATTTTCTTCCAGTACTTGAATGGTTTCACTTTTTACATTTATTATTATTTTTTTATCCATTCAAAATTTACTGTGGCATAGGCATAAATGAAAATTTATCTTTTTCCAAGTAGCAATCCAGTCATCCCATCACCATTGATTTGAGATACTTCCTTTGTCATAGACAGAATTTCCATATGTATGTGGTTCCATTTCTGGACTTTCTATTCTGTAGCAGTCTGTTTTAAAATTAGAGACTTCACAGTATGTTTTTCTATCTGGTAGTGCTAGTTGCCCCTCACTTTTTTTTTTCCCTAGGCTTTTCCTACCTATAATTGCATGTTTATTTTTCTGTTTTTATCAGAAATGGGTTTTGAATTTTGTTGAATGCCTTTCAGCATCTACAGAGATAATTATATGATTTTCCCCAAATACCTAGAAATTTGGTGAATTGTATTAATTGATCTCCCAATTAACATTATTTTTGCATTCCTGAAATTGATACTACTTGGTCTGTTAATGTGGTGATGGGCTTTAGTAATAGTTCATTGGGGTTTTTTTCATTAATATTTATAAATGAGATTGGTCTGGTTTTT